TTGTCTCTGTTTTCTTCGTTTCCAAGATTTTGATGTTGAATCCCAAACATAATATTCAGGAAATTCCACATATAATAACTCCTTTTCATGGTCCTTTTCATGTTTCTTCTTGTTACCTTCTTTAATTTTTTTACACATAGTAAAAAATTCTGTAAGCATTGTCTTTGAGACATGTTCCAAGTGAATAAATTTTGATAGGTCTTGATGTTTCCAATAAGAAACATATTGATGATTTGGCATGTGAAGTTGTAAGTTAATGACAGTCGGGAATATCTCATTAAGATGGAATTCATATATTCTCCAGAAAGTTTCCTGAGCTGATACCCATCTTGCATCTTGAAATTTTTTGATTTCATTCACAACTTTTTCACCTTCATTGTACTCAATGTTTACTGCCACTCTATCATGGCCTTTACAACTTTTTCACCTTCATTGTACTCAATGTTTACTGCCACTCTATCATGGCCTTTATATATGTACTTATAAAGGTATTTAACTGCTTTTATGTATCATGGCCTTTATATATGTACTTATAAAGGTATTTAACTGCTTTTATGCCTGAGCATATTTCAACATTAATGTGACAGTTATAACGTGTCAGCAAATAAGGATTATAAGGTACCACCCATTGATTATTAAGGATTTTGTTCCGAACCAACATTGTTCTGTTATTTTTGCTCCTTTTATAAACTGGGTAAGCATCTTTCGCTTGTAGTGATCTCGGAGAAAACTCTCTAGGGTAGTGATATTTACACTCGCCATTTTGCATGCAAACATTCTTCATATTTAACTCTCCACAAGGGCCATGCATCATATGTTTTTTTACCATTTCATATAGAATTGGATTTTCATACTGGCTTGGAATTTCTGCTGATACGTACTTATCATAATGATCTGATGAGATGATTTTGTGTTTTCCCATTAGAATAATTAACATGTGTGCATGAGGCAACCCTCTTTTTTGAAACTCAATGACATGAACATGGGCAGCAACTTTTCCAAAGATTTCCTTTTTAAATAGCTGATCTTTCAAGTCTTGCAATTTTCCTCTAAATATCCTTGAGGTTAGATCTGGTCTATCATTATATGTCTGTCCTAGATGTAGCTCCTCCGTGATTTCTTCCCATTCAGAATTGCATGTCATTGTGATGAAAATATCTGGTTTGCCAAATCGTTGTACTAATAACATTGCATCAAGATATCTACGACGCATATCTCTAGGACCACCAATAAATGATGATGGCAGCACTATTCTTTTTCCGACTTGACATGCTTTTGCTTCTCCAGCAGCTACACTATCAACTATGCATTGGAATAACTCTGCTCTGATTTCTGATTGTTTCTTTCTAAAATAATCAAGTCTTGTTGTTTCAAGCTTAATGTACATATCAACAGCAAATTGATGGAACAACCGGCTTGTCGATGTTAATACAATAGATTGTCGAGTGTCTCTTATCTAGAACTTATAACAATAATATTCTCGACATGAGACGCTTCCCGCCTTTGGTGCTTTAACACCTACAAGTTTACAGTTTAAGTTAATTTTTTATGTTTTAATATTATTAAACAATTTTAATTATGATTTACCTTCCCTTTCTAGTTGAAATATGTCTTCTGCAGATGTAAAAGTTTGCTGAGTTACTTGAGGTATTGTATTTACTTGTTTTGACTGGCGAATATCATTTTTATCCCTTCTTTTAATGTTTTGGTGCCATCCAACATCTCCGCCTGGAAAAAGTAAAGGATACTGTAAAGGATCATAACAACCAAAATAGTGCTTAACTTGATGATTCTTGCCGGAGTGTGAATGGACAACTATTTCTCTCTCATACGGAACATTATCATTATTTCCCTCTATCCAGATAGCTGCAACCTGATCCACTGTTGGCGAGTTGTAGACACGTTGATCTACTGCAGCATCTCTATTTATAATGATCTTGAAGTCTTCAAGAGATGGAAAATCATTTAGTTTCCGCAGAAATTTTGCATATGGGTTTCCTTCTAATATATCCATCAATCTTTTAGTTGTAGTCGTACTCATGTTTGCATTATCTAATATTCCCATTCGATTTTGCACCTCATTCTCTGTATCGTAGAAGTAAAGTTGAAAGTAGGAAGGCTTATTTTCTTCTGGAATAAGAGAGGGGAGATTATGATATATTTGTCCTTGTGCTCTAAATGTGAAAATACCCTTTCTGTTTGATGCAAGTTCTCTATCAAACCTTGCCCCAAATGATGTGAATGAGAAAATGCTATTATACTTTCTGGTTTGTCTTCGAAACTCAATTGCCTCTTGGGTTTGTACTGTATAAAGGGCATATAACTTATCATTAAAATTCACATCTGCTAGGTGGATTTCACCATTGTGACAACAGGATGTTGGTGGCTCATGTTCAAACCTTTTTGCTCCACAAAATGAACAACACTTTGGAGTCCGTAGTTTATGTAATAAAGAACATACTGGTTCATGTGTAATTTGACCTAGAAAAAAATAAATTTTTTAGTGTTAAATAAATTTGGATATATAGAATCATGTAATTTTTTTAATAAATTATAAAATTAATCTATGCAAACCTCCATGCTCATATTCTCGCTGTTGCGCTCCACAAAACAAATCAATCTTATGTTTTCCCTTGCTATTGGTACTACTGCCAGCAAAATCATTTCTTTTCCTCTTTATATTATTATCAATGACCTTCTGAATGTAAGTTCTCCTCTGATCAACATTCAACTGATTATATTTGGTGTTTCTACTCTCATGTATTAGAATGTGGTCTTCTGTTAAAAAATAATAAAATATACTATTAATAAACACAAATACACATAAAGCAATAATAATATATATTTATGTTGAATTCAAACCTTGGTTTGAAGTCATTTGGAAGAAGGTACTCTTATGGAAATGTATAGCGATTATGGAATCCAAGAAGTAGAATGTATATTTCTACAAGGAAAAAAAAATTATTGTGTTAAATTATTGATTTTATTAAACATAAGTATAGCAGTGAATATAATTTGAGAGAATGAGTATATTTTATTTGATGTTCAATAGTACTTTAGTTTTTTTTTAATTTTGGTACACTATACATGCATTAGTAATAATAAATATCTCATATGCTAAGGTTAATTCTTTTTTTTAAGTCATATAATAATAATAATAATAATAATAAATATTTAAGTGCAGAAGAAGATAAATACAAGGAAATAGAGTTATCATCACTATAAACAAAATAAAGAGAAAAGAGAAGAAAGTTGCTTAACTAACCTGAATCATCATGAACGATCTTTTGATGGTCATTTTGGAGTATAATTTGTGGTATATGTTCTTCAATCGATAACGTTCTCTAGGATCTTCGGATTAGAATAGTGTAAGTAAATTGAGAAGAAAAAGGTTGCCGATATGCGATTGAAGGGATGTAGGATCAATATTGGCGATTAAAACAGAGAGGGTTTCGTATATAATATGTAAATGTGGTCATAAAGGAGAGAGAACTATTGGAGGCGCATCATCATCGAAGGAGTATTCAGAGGAGAGGAAACGGGATGCCTGTGATGTTATCTGTTAGACTCGATCTTTTATTTTCTTAGTAGTGATACAATCCTGTCAATTTTAATATACCCTTTGCGACTATTATTGTCTACGAAATGAGTTTTTTAGTGTTGGGTATCGTATCAGTACTATGGCAATATATGTTGAATGTTTTTAGCAAGCGATGGCTTGTCGATAAAGTGTTGCTATAGAGTTATCTCGTTTCACTTGAACCTGATATTAGTTTGATTCTCTGGGATATTTTACTGTCTCGTGCGTCTGTCTATATATGATTAAAGTTGCTTTTTTTAGTTTGATTCTCTGGGATATTTTACTGTCTCGTGCGTCTGTCTATATATGATTAAAGTTGCTTTTTTTCTGTAACTGTGGTACGAACCACACTGCCAATTTCATTATGGCCCATAAATCGGTGTTGCGTTTAATCTGTGCATCTTGCGGACATTTTTTGACATAACCCTATAGGTTAATATTCATGAGACAAACTTTGAATTTTATTTCTAAAACATCTGTTTTATATTGCTAAAACATCTGTTTGATGCTCGCAAATACTTGGGGCAGACAATTATATACATCTTGGACACTTATCTTTTTAGGGGGCACTTCATTACTTATATCATGGAGCAATGCATCATTAGTTATTATGCTTCCAACTATGCTGTTAATTATGTTATTATTGCATTAAAAATCTTATTGATCATTATTTACTGATATTTCTACATGGGACTTTTGTTGGTCATATATCCAGTGGGTTGGCAATGTGTTCGCACAACTATCAATTTTGAATGCAACTATTACATAATAGGATAGCAAACTATAGATGATAGTTATAGCTCAAACAAATATGTAAATGCATTCCAAAATGTCATATGTCGAGGTGCAAATCATCAGATTCATACTTTTAAGGCCAATTTCAGGCAGTGTATCCTGAACAGAGCAAGCATGCATAAGAATTCAAACGTAGACAATTAATAGCTCGAGGTATATACCGTTGCCAGTTCACACTTGTTTGTTGAATACGAACAATAGATAAAAACTAAATTAACCAGACAGGAAAAATTAGAACAGATGAGAGTCCAAATACAGATGGATTTCATATAGCCAACACGCAGAATATTGTCATAAGCGATTGTGAAATTAGAACAGGCAATAAATCTAGTCAACAATATTCATTCTAACTTTTACCTGATCAATTTTTTTTCTTAAATGAATGTCTTATATATTAATTTATGTGATGATTGTGTTTCAATTGCCAGAAAGAATATTACATGGCATTCAAAATCACAATGGCAATTTTTAATAAGATGATCAATCATATAGCATATAAAATCATACTTATAGGTATTAATGCTTGAACATGAACAGAGTTGCCTAAAGTACGACATGAAACTGAAACATTTAGGGTAGATCCTAAACTGTGTCATCACTATTTCATATATAATACATGGCTTACCTGATGAAACTGACAAAGGAGCAATATGAAGAATTGAAGCAAGCCCTGATTCGGACAATCCTTGACCTATTGTTGAATTAGAACAAAAGGAGATGATGGCTAATTAGAACAAAATTAAATTAAATGAACACCAAAAAAGTAAAATTATTCTTACCGATGCCAAAATTCAGACAACTGAGGAGATGATGGCGGAGGCGCAGAGATGATGATTAGGGCAGTAACAATCAATTTTGGAAATTTATGGCTTAAGATCGTGGGACGGCGTAGAGAGAAGGCGGAGAGAAGGCGGAGAGAAGGCGGAACCGAAGGAAGATTTAGGGAAACGGATGAACTGGTGAATTGATTTTATCTTTAAAAGATGTAACAAAAGATTGGATGGGCTGAGGAGAAGGTGGAGAGGAAGAACCGAAGGAAGAATTAGGGATTTTGATTTCAGCTGAATGTTGTAAGGGATAGGGTTGGTATATATATTTCGGTTGAAGGTTAATTTGGGGAGGGAAAATTTTTCCAGTAACTCGCTCTTTTAAAGGGTAATAGATAAAGGGTAAAGTTTAGAGTAATTGGACCCTTTTAATTTACCACGTAAATGGTGAGGATCTAAATCCAATTTGTAAATATATATGTTTTTGGAGGTTGGGGTGGGGGGTTGGGATATAGGTAAATGAGCACATAATTTTAACCATTTGTTGTTGCTTCTCAGATTAAACATAGTAGCGTTTGTTAGAACTTTGTTTGAGAAGAACATTGTAATGTCTCTTGTTTGATCAATAACAAAATCTCATTTGGTACTAATACGTTTGTGAGATGATATATTTCAGGAATAAACATGTACGAACAAGTTATAACTCAAAATGATGCAAAAATCATCATGAAAAGTTGATTTCAGCCTTTAACCATTGATGGTCACGAGGCGATCGTCAATAGTCCACGGATCATCGACGGACAATAGTCAACAATCTGTATTTTCCAGAAACCTGTTAGAGTTACAGTGCTTAAAGACAAAAAGGTTGTGTTTCAAAATTCATTCATTTATTGGCATCAATGATCTGAGCGTAATTTTAGATCAACATTAGATAGAATTGTAAGTCGGTTTGGTTTAACCTAAAACCCGGTGACTACTTTCTAGCGTCATCGGTGGGTTTTTGGGCTATAAACTGTGCACACATCAGGCCCCGATGTGCTGCACATATGTCGTGCATGAGGTTAGATGATAGGTCATCTCTCTTTTAGTGACAATTTATATGTGAAGAGGCTTGAGGCTAAAAACACACAGCAAATAGCAATCTCTTCTATCAGCTCTATTGAGAGACCTGCATGCAGAAACTTGCTTAAATTTTACCCCTTTCTCTATTTTAAGTTTTCTTCATCCTCCTAAAACAGCTATTGTTTGGTTTTAATTCCAGCAAAACTCATAGCTCTAGGAAAGAAAAAAATAGCTTCCTCAAAAGCATAAGATAAACAGAGTTAGCTGCAATAACAGTACCATATTCAAATTTCAAGAGAGCATAAAATTTGAAGGGAAAAAAATAGTAATTGCAGAATTGGTATGAAGATATCCGCTCTATTTTTTCAAGAACTAGAACTTAAGAAAGTGTTTCATCCATAGTAGATTTATGCCAGAAGTGTTAGGGATTTTATGGAGATTAATCCGCGGAATTAAACACTAAACGAATAACGACACCAATGAAAATACCACAAGCAAGCAAACACCAAGATTTAACGTGGTTCGGAAAATCGTGCATACGTCCACGGGACAATTCAGTGAGAAATATTTCACTATGAATCAAGAGTACAATCCCTCCAAGTTACACCTGAACTTGAGGATAAAATCACAAGAGAAAAATACAATGTTATCTCTAGGACACCAAAACCCTAAAACCCATCTCACCAAAATTTTTCAACTCCCGTGGAGAAATTAACACAGATTCCTCGATGGCGTCGTCGTTCTGAAGACAACAGCTTTTGAATCACTACAATCGGGCAATCGAGCTATCCGGAATCTCATTTCTCTCTCTCTCTCTCTCTCATTTTCTCTCTCGGATTACTGTTCACAGTTATTGTCACACAAAATTAATTTTAGCGTTCTCATAAATAGAATTCTCTAAACATATTCCTGTTACAAATAGATCCTCTAAATCCTCTTCTAGATAGATTTTTAATTCATGTGAACTTCATGTGGGCCTTATCTTGGGCTGGACCCACAACAATCTCCCCTTCCAGCCCAACAAGGGGTTATGCCAATCTGTAACTGTAGAAACGGCGACAAAGTTTGTTTGCGTCAAAAGTTGTTTTCTTCATTGCGGGACTCATTACAACTTCTTTCGTTACAATAAGTTCTCTTTACACAATAAAAAATAAAGATTATAACTTTATCAAACAATACACAAAAACTATTTATTAGCCTCTGTTTGCGTGGGATCTTTGCCTGTGTCGGGGACGCGTTAGTCCATGTACCGCCGCGGATCAGATCCGGTTGACAGAAGATTGATTAAAGCTCTTACTTCACAAAGGAAGTAATCGCTGAAGTGATAATCTCGACTAAGCGAGATTACGACTCTTCTCGAGATCAAGACCAAGCCTGATCTCAAGGAATTGGGGGGGGGGGGGGGGGGGGGACGAGCCTCAGATCCTTCAAAACGATCCTTCTTTATGCCGGAGTTCGCCAAAATCTGCTAGCCTCTCTCAAATTCGTCAGAACCTCGCTCTAGCTCCTCTGAAATTCGTGGCTCCCTTCATATATGCCTTTATGAGGGTGCTAGGGGTGTATTTATAGGATTTAAATGCCGTGTTTGTGGATATGGTCGAAGAACAACCATTATTATCCATTTAGGTGGGTTTTCGGTTGTGTAACAACTTCCACACGTTTAAGGATAACTCCACATGTTTATGGATGACCCCAAGGAGTTCTAGAAGCCAATCTTATCAGAAAACACGTCGGGAGCTTACCTGGGCGCGAGTCACCTCGACTGTCTCGCACATGTCCGAGACAGCTTGGACTGTCTTGGGTATTTTGGTCTTAACTCTTTTGTCCGACCTCAGAATGAGATGATTCAAGATGGGTTGGAAAGATGATAAAGATACTACAACTTTTTTCTTTTGAGATTCTTCATATTCAAATCGTATCATAGCCAAAATATGCGAGACACAATGGTATCTCGCAAGTGCGAAATAGTCTGGATTGTCTCGAGTGTTTTGGCTCTAACTCTCTCGTCCGACCTCAGAATGAGGTTATTCAAAGTGCGTCGGAAAGCCAGAGATGAGATATATAACCTCCCATGGGTGAATCATATGTGGAGTGGACGATACACGAGTGGTGCATCGTCTTTCGTGAGTGAAACGTAATTCCCGATCGGATCGTTTCTTTGTCATTCTGTCGTCCCGTTGGTTCGTATGCTTCGTTGAATTGCTTCATTCACTTGGCGACATCAGATAATCTTCCTTGACTTAGATAATGATATTTATTGTTTTCTCTTCGTCTCGAGCTGCGTGCGTGAACCCATAGGCAATTTTTGACGCCTACAGATACCCCTCCAAAGTATTTCAGTCTCGTTTATTTTACAGAAGGGCCTGAAATACTTTGGATGTGATAGGTCCTACTTTCAATCGGTGTAAAAGGACTTATAATTGGCTTTAGTTCTTGACTTCTTCAATTCTCAGTCTATTCAGTATTTTGTCGAATAGTTGAGATTCTGCGGGTGCTGCGTTTATCGTCTGACTGTTGTTGAAGCCTCGAACTGAAACTGGTGTATTGGTTTCTGATTTTAGCTCGTGTCGTTGAGTCGACGTTGAACTGACTATCTTTGTCGGGGATTCATATCTGAATTGCAATTGAACTCCCTGGGATCATCCTTTGACCTGAAATTGATCTGAGTCTTGTTTCGGCTAAAAATTATCAACGCATTAACCTTCATCGCAATGTGTTGACTGACGTTGACTTTTCCTCGCAACGCTTTGACCAGCGGTGACCTTCATTGCAACGCGTTGACTAGTATTGACTTTCATTGTAATGCGTTGATCGGTGTTGACGTTTCCTCGCAACGCATTGACCGGCATTGACCTTCATTGCAACGCGTGGCAGTCCCAAGTGTAGAGGCTGCAATGCCAATTATTGAGGCTTGGTTATTCTGCATGTATGGATTTCACCCTTATGTTCCGTTAGTTATTTACTTAACCACAGGGGAGTTTTGGTTGTAAGATCAGCTATTGGAGCTGATACGGCTATCATTGCAAATGCTTTCAAAGTTCCTCGTGGAGACTTCAACTGGAATTGATGTTGTCTCGGGTGCTCAAGTCACGAGACCAACTGATGAAGCTAGTGTGTCAATGACTATCAGACTTATAGGATTTTTGATAAATCCTCAGCCATCAACGAATTTGATAAGCTTTTACCGACTACCGTTTGAGTCGGGCTAGCATGCAGATTGTCTAAATCAGTTTCGCATGTAACATTATGCTAAAAGAGTTAACTCTCTTAGACTTAGTGCTATGATATTAAATACATAGACTTCGCCATTGTTACGGGAATAGGCTACCCGGTAACGCGTATTAGGCGTAGACTTGAACAAACCTCCAGGAACTTCCTGCTGGAAATAAGGGAAACAGTTTAGACCTGTATACCCATTAGAGTATCACAGAGAAGCAGTTTAACCTCTTATACTCATCGAAGGATGGGAGAAGTTTAACCTCATATACCTATCAAAGGATGAGAGCAGTTTATCCTCATATACCTGTCGAAGGATGGGAGCAGTTTAACCTCATATACCTATCGGAGGATGGGAGCAGTTTAACCTTATATACCTGTCGGAGGAAGTCGTTCTCATTCAGCTTCTTTCAGCGTTATGATGCCAACGTCAACAAAGGCTTGAATGCTGTTTTTCAGCATAATACAAGTCTTGGTGGGGTGATGGACCCTCCTGTGGTACGCACAGTACTTAGGATCCGAAGTCTTGTTTGCTTCCTCCTGATTTGTAATCGGTGGTAGCTTGATTTTGTCGTTGGTGAGGAGGTACTTGAAGATGGTTGGAACTTCATCATCTTCGAAAGAATACTCCTCCTGGAACTTCGTATTAAGAGTCCCTTGTTGCCTCCAAGGTGGATGTTGATGAATATCGTCAGCAGTTGCAGGTACTTTAGTCGTCGGTTGGCCTCTCTCGAGCTCCTTTCTTTTGAGGAAGCACTCGACCTGTTCTCCACGTAGTTTTAATTCCTTCCATGTGGTTGAGGGGACAACCCCCATGACTTC